TCATTTTATGGACTTTCTAGAATTAGTATCGTCATCATGATTACCAGCTCTCTATAGCAGTGGTTCCCACCTTGGGGGTCCGCGAAGGTAATACCATCTCATTAAACTAAGTTTTTTAATACTGATGTTTTTTTAATTGCACACTCAATTATATATGTCTTTTAGTTGATTGTGAAAATGGGAGAACGAGTTAATTATTAGTTATTCAAAACAGTTTGTTGGGTAGGCGGAATCTTTCAAAAATATGGGGTCCATGGGGGGAAAATGATAATAAAAGGGGTCCTTGGTGGAGAAAAAGTTGGAAACCACTGCTCTATAGCAACACCTAAATTAGTACATTGAAAATATATTTTACAACAATATAATTGTTGCTTTGTGAAAAGTAACTCACTTCCCTAATAAACTGATAGGAACAAAATAGTATGGCATTATGTATAATACAATGTTTTGTTTTGAGTGAAAATTGTATTGTGTACTCAAATACTTAATATTAAACTACACACTTTTAAGGTTTTCATATCCATAAAACTTAAATGTCATATAACATTTTACTGTTGTAGATTTTAAGTTATTTTCAATAGCAAAGTTGTTGTGAACTACTTGTGATTATTTTAATAATACTAGTTTTCTTGAACTAAGGTAATGTTTTTTTATCATTTGTTGCATGACTAAATGCTTCAGGGCTCGAACTGCCCGTTGCGATTGCCACAACACTGAGATTAATTGGCCACCAAAAAACTCCTAAGTGGTGGGCATAATTCACCATTATTAATTTATAGACAACCTAATAAACACTTTGGCACTTCAGTTAGTTCTAGTTAAAGCAATGACAACTTAGCTAACTTGCTGGACAATGAATTTTAACCCCTAAGCTTGTTGTCAGTCACCGTAAGCAATGCGTCTCACCTCAGAATTCTATCCCCAGTCATCAGCAATCATCTCTTTAATTAAAGTCAACGAAAAGTTTTACGATAGAAATTGTCTATCGAGTTACGATGTAATCGCCTGGGAACAATCAATGGGTGACCACTGCCGATGATCAGTTATGACATACACTGATGTTCTCACCATAATACACAATCAGGAAGTGTTAATTGTCACTTTATTATTGACAGTTTACAACAGGTGAGTGCCAGGCTTTAGCATGAGGCTAGGTAAATAAACTGTATGCGTCCTTACTCAGCACAAATATCAAAACTAGAAAGCCACTTGTTAGAGCATAGACCCTACTCACTTCCAAAAAATTGAGTGAATTTGTATTTAAAAAAGATGACTAATTCCTCGTGTCGAAGAACACCAAATGTAAACCGCATCACAATATTTTTTGATAAAGTTTTTTTAAAAAAAAACATCCGAGAAGTTCTTTAATATGAATTACATTTTATTTCCAGTATAAAAAAAATATTGTGAAAAGTAATTTAAGAAATATTATAATATTTACGACATGATAAGTATTTAAATTATTTTAACTTGTGATAAATTTACTCTTGGAACACGAGTAACACCTTGTTAATCTGAACGTGAACAAGCTTGCAACTTGTAAGAATCCATCTGGAATGTAGATTTTCTGCTATGAAATGAAATCAAAATGAATGGATATATATATCCCCTGAAAACTTACATGTTGGAAGATCTGATTTCGCTTCAGCACAACTTTAATTTGAGATAAACTGTAGTTTAGTAGAGAAAATATGCATGTAAAGTGAGGCCAGTATTGATTCCTGTCAGCAAGAAGCAAGATGTTTTTCGTACATATGAATGATGACTCTGCTGTTGATCCTGAGACTGAATAAGAAGTAGAATCTGATGTATAGATTGAACTTTGTGAGTTTTTAGGGGGGGGGGGGACAAATGACTTCCAAGTGCCTCAACATTTTATGATATATACATTTTTGTGTGAAATATTCCTAAAATATATTTATCAGAAGTTTGTTCGGGACCTCTGCATACCACGCTGGATCCGCTTCTGAAAAAGATGGATATGTGCCAAAGTGGACAGGGAGGGGGAGGGGGGCAATTTACAGTACTTTTGGCCTTGATATCTTGCCAAAATTATAAAAGACAGTCTAATTTTCTATAACTTTTATTTAAACAGTTGTCAATTATTCACACAGTATACCTTATACTAAAAAGAAAACAACTGGTAGGTTTTGTAAACATAGTTGTTACATTCATGGGCGTCTGCAGGGGGGGGGGGCACTTTGTCCTTCATGGAAAATGAGAAACATAATTCTTACTTTATTCATTCAGCATATGTATATGATTCTTTTATTCATTTCACAATTCTTTGCCCTCCCCCATGAAAAACTTTGTCCCTCCCCCTGGAAAAGTTTTTGAGGATGCCCATGATTACATTGTTCAGCACAAGCTTTGGGCCAAGAGCACATTATCTAGTGTATGCTCACTTACTCTGAATGAACCAGTTGAGTATAGGCATGCCATTCAAAATTAGAGGTATGTATATGACATATTCTTGTTTATAACACCCCTCCCCCTCAATACACCACTGTTGATTGGTGAAAGCATAAGATTTTCTTTATACAAGAAATATTTTAGTTTTCTCCCACCTTATAAACCTATGGAAGTATGTTAAATATGTATTAAAAAAACACTTCTTTTTAAAATTCCCCAAGAAGAATACTTCTCATGTTTTTTTTTGTTGTTTTTGTTTTTTGTAATTTAAAAATTGGTGAGTACAAATATTCAAAGGTTTGTCAATGGTTTCAGACATGGTTGCCATACCTGACTTCCCATATGGAGGCATGGAGAACTGGGGACTAGTATTTTATGCCATGAGTGCATTATTGTCTGATCCTGATGAGTCATCTTCAAATAGTCAACAATATGTGGCTGAAGTTATTTCTCATGAATTAGCTCATCAGGTAAGATAAGAAGAAAATAAATAACTAATATACCTCAATGCTTTACAATATTTTATATAATTTATATTGATGGCTTTATTAAAAATATCTGTTCTATGAGAAATGAAATACTATATTCAAGAAAAAAAATTACATAAGGTGCATAGAAATAAAGAAAAGAATGATGAATTTATTAGGGTTATAAAAACCTGTAACCATGTATGTGTGCACAAACTCAACTAGGGTAAATCATGTATGCAGCTAAGGTTTTGAGTTTAAAATTCTGCTTGTCGAGAACTTTTGTATCATCAATCATTAGACCATGATATTGTTTGTTGCAAGTGAAAAAGGAAATTATTTTCCTAGTTAGTAAT